GTACTTTAAACTTGTTATCGGGAGGAATCAGTCCCTGGAGACGTACATCATTGTTGGAACATTAGATAAGCAAAAAAGAGGAATGTTCTCAACAAAAATTGAGCAATGACTTTAACCATGGTCTCAAATGTAGCAACAATTATGAAGATGGTGCAGGACCAGGCAGTGTGTCATTCTGATGTACACAACATTGCTCTGACCAAAATAATGGCTCTAAACAACAACAGTATAAGAAACTAGCTTAACAATAGTAGCTTAAATAGATAAAAAATTTAGGGAGCAAGGGCTTTGTGCTAATGAAGGAAGAACAACTGAGAAAAGAAAGATCAAAACTGTTGCATAACTCAAAGAATGCAATTACATTTCAAATTGTACATGCAGAAACAGTTGAATTAGTTATATTCTGCTGTGTACATTGTCAACAAAAATAAAGTGTAAATTATGTTTTAAAAGAATATAAAATAGGAATAAGGTGGCTAAGAATTGGGCCATGGCTTCTGAAAAATTATACTAGTTAGGATGAAGTGAGAACTCTTATTTGCCAATTCTAGTTTTATACCCATGAACAGTTGATTTGCTTGCTGCAGAGGATCAAGGGTTTAAGTCTTCAATATGAATTACATCTCAACATTAAGAAAACAGAAATCTTCACCATTGGGCCAACAGGCAACATGATAATAGATGGGAATAGATTGTGATTTCATCTTGTTTGGATCCATCTTCAGATCACTTGGTACCCACAAAGTCAGGAGATCAAGAGACGTATAGCATTGGGAAAGTTGGCTGTCAAGGGATCTCTCCAAAATTCTGAAGAACAATTATATCAGCTTAAAGACTAATATGTGTGTGATTCAAGCCACAGTCTTTCCAATCACCTACTATACATATGTGAGCTGGACAATAAAAAAGAATGCCAACAGAAGAATTGACGCATTCAAATTGTGGTGTTGCAGAAGAGTGCTGAATATAGCATAGAGTGACAAAAGAACAAAGATATGGCTTGAGCAAAGTGCAACCAAATCTCCTAGAAGGCAAGGATAACAACACTCTGCTTATATATTTTTAACATTTTGCTGTTGTTGTTTACTGTCAAGTTGGAACCAACCCACAGCCGACTCTCCAGCAGGTTTTCAGGGTCAGTAAATTGTACATGAAGAGACAGTCTATCTTTTCTCCACAGAGCAGGTGGTGGATGTGAGCCATGTGCCTTTGGATTAGCAGTTCAATTCCTTACCACTAGGCCATCAGAGCTCCCTGGACATGTTAGAAGAGATTATTCACCAGTAAGGGACATCATACTTGGATGGGCGGAGGTCAGTGAAAGAGATGAAGATCTTCAGCAAGATGGATTAATACAACATCTGTGACAATGGACACAAATGTCTAGGAATGATGAGGATGGCTTAGGATAAGACAGGATTTAGATCTGTCATTCATAGGGTCACTATGAGTCATATCCAACTCAACAGCGCATAATAACACCAACACTTGTGAAAAATGAAGATGATACAAACTGACTTAACAGTAGTCCTGTAAGTAATTGCTTATTTAAAATTATTGGTATAGCATTTGAAATTAAATTATAATTCATCCAAATTGACCACAATAAATTTAACAGTTGCTCTCCATACCTACTTTACATCATTCATCTGTGTTACATATAATATTATGGATCTTTAACTTACATTTGATAATTCTATTCATATTCTCATTTTGCAGTCAAAACAAACACCTGCTTGAGTTCACAAACCTGTAGAGTGATTTTATTAAGATTTGGAGTTCATGTGACACCAGGCTTGGTGCACCTGTAATGTTGCCTCTCCAGCAGTGAGTGGCTCTCCTTGGAATATGCTTCAGTATCTCCATGCACTATGAGACACAATGTCTTATGGCTTGAGCTATTGTGATGATTCAATTGACCATCTCATCTTTTAGCATATGTAGTTTAGAAAACAGTATACTGACATTCTCATCTCTAAAAACTCAAATGTCCTTTTCTTTTTACCCCCCTTTGCTTCAACAATACACACAATTGAACTCTCAACACATACTGAGAAGCCCAGTGTGCTTCTTTCATAAATTGACTTTACCAACTCAGTGATAGGGTTACAGCACCTCTCTCTAAATTTCCTACTCCTCAAATTTAATCTCATTTCCCTTATCACTTCTGCTAGTGAACCAATCATTGAAACAGAACTTTTTCTAATGGCACAAACCCATAAATCTGTGTGCATCTGTAATCAGTTTCTTCTTTCTCTAGTAACAAGAAGTGTTTTGATACTTTTAAAGCTTGGTCCCTCTACAATCTAACCCTTTCTTCACATTAGTGTCAAGGCCTTAGATTAAATACTTCTTTGGCATCATCTAACTCTACTGGTTCTTTTAACAGCAAGTAAGCACATTCTAGTATCACTTATTTCTTAAAAATAAAACCAATACAACAATGTCTTTCTTTATTTATATTTTTCAGCTACAATGTCATCCCCTACTCCTCTTCTGAGCTAAAATTCCTGTCAAAGATCTGCTTGCATCTCTATCTCAATTTCTCCATCACTACTTCAGTCCTTAACGAACTTAAGTTTTATATTGATATCCACTGTTCTATTGAAACTGATCTTGTCAACATTTCTGATCTCCATAATGTTGAACAAAATTAGGGCTATTCAGTAATCATCTTATTTTATGTTTTTGACAGCATCTGACAGAATTGACAATAGCATCTTTCTTAAAGCAAGATAAAAATGTATCATTAATTTTTACCTCTTCCCCTACCCATCCAGCTACTTTCCATGGATTTTAAAAAATATTTTTTATTTTATATTGATTTGCTTACAATGTTTATATATGTTGTTTTACATAATACTTCATTCACATTGTGTTTACTATAATCATTCTCACTTACGATTTTTTATAAAATTAATCACCCCTGAAGTATACCCACTGTCTTTCCAGATCCCTTGTGGATCTTTCTCATTCCCTCTACTCTTTCCATCCACCAACTTGCGTGACCCTATGATTTCCTCCATGCCCATCCTCATCTCTCTGCTTCCACCATCCTCCACCCTTTGGATCTTCATGCATGTTTTGCTACTTATCTTTCTATTTCTACAATAATGGTATTATGCAGTATTTGTCCTTAAGAGACTGAGTTAGTTCACTCAATATAATGCTATCCAGTCCCTCCCAAGTTATGTAGTAATTTTTGAAATCATTGTTCCTGAGCACTGCATAGTAGTATTTCATTATGTGACTGTATCACTAGATCTCAAATTTTCTTGATTGAAATTGGACATTTGGGCTGTTTCCATGTTCTTGGGAAGGTTGATAACATTGCTATGAACATTGGTGTACAAATCTCCATTTGTGTCTCTGTTCTAATTTTCTCAGGCTATATTCTCATTAGTGGAATTGTTGTTGTTATGTGCCACAGCAGCTCTGAAGCCTTCCCTGTCCCGAGCTAGTGTCACTAATTCTGACATATCTATCCCCACTGCCCCAGTTATTGTATCAATCCATCTTATCTGGGTCTTACTCTCTTGTGCTGTCCCTCCACCCTTCCTAGCAGGAAGTCCTTCTCTAAGGATTCGTGAAATAGAGGGGTCCTATTTCCGTGGAATATTAATATTATATATTTATATATAATTATTATAGATTATTGTATGTTGTAATATATAATTAATTATATATATTAATATTTACTATTAATTATAATATATACTATAATAGAGTAATAATTAATATTACTCTATTTTTCTTTGATCTTAATGTTGTATGCAATTCTACTCTTTGAGTCTGCCTCCATTTGTCAATTTTATAATGTAAAATGTTATTATTCTCTACATTGAGTCATCTATCCATGTGGATTTAAATATTATTTTAAACATAGAACTCCCAATTTTTAATCTCAAACTCAGATCTCTCCTCTCCAAATTGATGTATTTTACTGCCTTCTTAAGGATTTTTATTTAGCTAATTCATAAGTTAATGAAAGAAGTGTAACTCCTGCATATCATTTCTTTTTGTGTGTGTAGCTGGTAACACGTGGAGGAAGGTTAGTATCTTGAGGACTCAAGAAAAATGTAGTAAGATAGTTTGTTTTACCAGATCTTAGAAATGACTTTGGTTATTTCAACCTGATCTTTTTCACTTTTATTATTATTTCATGGACCCTAAATCACTGCCCAAGCAAATAGCCATGACTGCAAATGAAAAGCAAGAATCACTCAAACGCGAGGACTGCAGCCAAGGATCTGTCTGTTTTAGCCTGACTGCAAAAATCTCACTACTTAAATGAATCTCCACAACTTTCTAATCTTGTGATACTTGTTAAAAACGATAACTAATTAGTTACAAAACAGGAAAAAACTGTGGAAGAGAAAAATTAAATAGTCCTTAGAGAGTTCTGGTGGCTTAGCAGACATGGAGCTGCCAACCCAACAACAGGCAGGTTGAATCTACCAGCTACCTAGAGAGAAAAAGATGAACAATCTCTTCCTGTGTGATTTACAGCTTCTGAAAATTAGCTGGAGGGTCAGCTCTGAGTTGGTTCTGCCTTTAGGCAATGAGTTGTTACATTTTACTTTATTTATAGCCAAAGAGTCATCTGAGAGTTACTTGTACCACCACACAAGCAAGACTAGCTCTCTGTTTCCTTTCAGGAAAAATGAGAGCAAACGTCACAAACATCCCACAGATCTCACCATCAACATAGCAGAATAGAGATAAATACATGTTTTGGAATGATTACAATATTGATGAGACTTATGAAAGGAAGATACTTTCCTAAATCAAACTGACGGCCTTAAAGAGACTCTCCCTACACCTATAATGTGAATGATTGTATAAAATACATTGATATGAATGAAATACAATGTGCATGAATTATTGCATAAAATACAGTGTACATGAATGAATCAAAATATTTATGAACGACTTTCTGCAAACCAATAAAATTTTAAAAAGAAAAGCTACAAAATCCTTTGGCGATTTCATGTACTTACCAGGCACATATGGTGGGTTATTCAGATTATTCAGTGCACATCCTTGCTTCTGTCCTGTTCCAAAATTGGTTGGTTCATTCATATCCTTAAAGAGAAAAGAGATAATTTTTTTTCTATATTTTATTAATTTTCATAAACATTTACAGAGATTTTGGGTTTCCATTCATTCATTGTTGCACTATTCTCTCTACCCTCCTCCCAGTTTGTTCTTGTCCAAATGCCACAGTGCTTGTCAAAGCCAGTTCTGATTAATCTTCTTTGTCAGTGTGTCCTTTGCCATTCCCTATCACTCCTCCCTGAGAGAGACTTCACCCTGAGTCATAAGGAAAAGGGGATGGCGTATTCTCTTAGCTACTTCCTGCTGAAAAGGGACGCTGTGGGTTTCAGGGTGAAGATCTTCTCTCACTACTCTAAAGGGCCCCTTTGGCAGTAGGAAACACATAGACTATTATGGAGATTGATTTTGGAATTTAGATGCACTCTTATTGATTGTGCTTGGCTGTACATGTTCATATCCTTGAAGATGTATCATGGGGGTGTTGCAACCTAGAAGACACAAATTTGACTAAGTTATAAGTACATGAGTCAAAAATTATGGAAAAGTAAAAGAAAAGACTCTTTCATTGTTTTACAAACCCTCCCCCAGGCATAGTTTTTTACTTATCATTGTGGAAAAAGAACAACAACAAGCATGTGTTTGATTTTTTGTGAGTTTTTTTTTTTTATCTAGTTGTGTGAGATAGCAAACTCAGAGCTTAGCAAGGACTAAGATGGTGTCCCTGACCTCAAAGAGTACGTTAACAGCAAATTGTCAAGAGTTTCACAATAAGAAAATATTACAGGTTAGGAATAGATGTCATCCATTTCAATAAATATCAATTCCATTTTTCTTTCAGTGACTCATTCTTCATTTCTTTCACTTGTAGCTCATCTCTAATTCAGCACCCAATCCTACTAGCTCTATCTTCAAATGAATGCAGAATCTGATCAGATCTCATTCACTCCATTGTCACTATCCTAGGTAACACTATCAATGTCTCTTGCTTGAATTGTTATGATTGTTTCCAACTAAGTGGTCTGCTTTGTCCCACAGGACAAAGGACCAAAGGACCCCGAAAGGACACTTATCTATAAGCTAAAGAAATTTAAATTTGCTACCCTCCTTCTTTTGCATGAACCCATCACACTTGAATATTTAATTTTCTATTCATTTTTTTCCTAGAAAGATTCACTTCAAATGTATAAGGCTTCTTATCACCTGAATTCACCTCTGCTTTCATACGTCTTTTGATGTTCTGATAGCATATTCTCGACAGAGCAACCAGAATGATCCTTTAAAAATCTTTGCTTAAAATTCTCCATACTTCTTCATCTCATACCAAGCAGAAGTAACAGATGCTTTTTTTATGTTGCTTTAATATAATTTTTACTTTTCTTCTACTATTGCTGCCCACTGTCCATCACTCTTCTCTAGTATACTAACTTCCATGTTGTTCCTGGAAACTATCGGGTGTATTTCTGCTTGGAGGAGTTATGTAATTGCTGCTTGTAGTCTGGAGGCTTTTAGCCTAGATATGCTCAGGGCTCAATCTCTGACTTTCATTAGCAATGATCTTCTTAAGTGACTAGTCTATTTAAACTCTGAGCTTATTTCAAGGTGGGATCAATCCTTGGAGAGGGACGTCATGCTTGAGAGGGTGGAGGGACAGCGCAGGAGAGGAAGACCCATCAATGAGATGGACTGATTCAGTGCCTGGGGTAATGGGGGTAGGTAGTGTCAGAGACACTAATATTGGCAAGGGATAGAGCAGGGTTTAGGGCTGTTGTACATAGGGTTGCTAGGAGTCACAGATAAGTTGATGGCACATAACAATAACAACAACAACTTAAAATTTCTCACTTCCAAAGGAACTCTGCTTATAAAGTGTTTAAAGCATTTAACTGTTAAACAAAAGGGAGAGGATTCAAACTCAGCAGCTCCTCCTCAGAAGAAAGATGAGGCCGTCTTTCCACGGAGCTCTATAGACCTGGGAACCCTATGGGACAACTGTTTTCTCTTTAACAGGGTGGCTATAAAATAGAGGTAGATTTAGTTGTTTTTCTTTCTTTTTTTTTTAATTTTTATTGTATTATTTTTATGTGTACCGTCAAATCAGATCTGACTGGTACAGGAGGAGATTGCCCTCTCCTTAGTTGTTTTTCTTTCTTAATTCTCATCTATTCAGCTTATTTTTTCTCCTTACCAGTAATTAAGACCGGGGATCAATTAAAAATTTGCATTCTTTATATTTCCCTCTAGATGCTCAGATCCTTAAAGGATCTTTTTTTTTTTTTTTTAGTGTATCCCCAAAGCTTCCTGGCACAGAGAAGGTACTCAATAAATTGTTGTTTGTTTTTTAGTTTTGAAAATAAGATAAAGAAAGGATTATTTATGTTAGAAAGTTAGTGAAGATTTCATGTAGAAGTCATGGAAACAAGATGTAGGTGGGCTAATTGAATTTGAACATGTGAACAGGCACAACTGAGAACATAATTTTGTCAATTACTCATTGCAGACAACTCTGAATTGACACATAACTGATCTTTCAGTGGTTTTTTAGAGGCTGTAAATTACATGAGGGGAGACTGCACATCTTTCTATCATGGAACAATTGGTGGATTTGAACTGTTTGTTAGCAGGAAAACTTCCTACCCACAAGGCCACCAGAGTGCTATTAAAATAAAGGTGAGTCTTATCACTGTCTTTGGAAAACACTGTAATAAACTAAATGGTATGACCAGTGATATAATCTCATTTATTATGAACCTATCAGTGATATGCTCTCATTTGTAGACAGCTTTGATAGTCTATCAATCAGCTATCAATTTTGTAACCTTTAATTTTCCCTAGAATAATATAAGAAGGTGTCCTTTTCCTTGGCTTGGAGAAATTGCTGTTTCATTCTGTAACAATAGGTGTTTCCTTCATCTGGGATGTCTCTATCTCTCAATAAACGTCAATGCTTTTTATTACTAATAATGTAATGAAAAAAGAATTTGACATTACCATTGAACTGATATGCAATGTCATGATGGATGGAGAAGAAACTGAAACTGTCAACAGCTTCGTCTTGCTTGAATCTACAATTAGCACCCTTGGTTGCAACAGTCAGGAAATAAGGACATGCATTGCACTGGGAATATTTGCAGTTACGGACTTCTGAAAATTATTGAGGAATAATAATGTCAGTTTGAAGATTAAGGTGCGTCTGATGCAGGTCACAATCTGATTGCTTGCTATGCATCTGAGAGCTGGACAATGAATAAGAATGATAGAAAAAGAATTGAGTTCTTTTAGCTGTGGTGTTGGAAAAGAGAACTGAACATCCCATGAACAAGAAAACAAATACATATGTCTTGGAGAAGGTGCAGCCAGAGTGCTTTTTGGAGGCAAGAATGATGAGGCTTTGCCTCACATACTTTGGACATGTTCCTAGAAGGTGCTATTCCTTGGAGAAGGACATGATGCTGGGAAGAGTGGAGGAATGGAGAAGAAGAGGAATACCCTTGACCAGGTGGATTGATGCGATGACTGCTAAAATAGTCTTGTGTGTCAGGAAGTGAGGATGGCTCAGGGTAGAACAGGGTTCATTTCTTTTGATCACAGAATCACTTTGAGTTGTACTGACCTCAACAGCACCTAACAACAACAGAATTTGGGCATTTGGGAATGAGAAGAAAACCAATCAAAGGCTATTAACAGCTAACTATGCTGAATGTTGAGAGGGGAGTGCCAAGAAGAGAAGCACTCTACTGTTGCACGGCACACATTCTCTGATCTTCACACAATTTTCAGCCCACATCCTGACTGATTCGGTTTGCAAGTTATTTTTCTAGAAGAGTACCTGTTAGGCACACAACAAACTACTGCCTCAATAGAACTAGGGAAATTCTTCTCTCAGATCTTTCCTTTCTGTACTCTTTACCCATGTCAATCTATATTATCCAAACCACTTCATCACTCAATTTCCCATTCTGTTAGATCTAAGTTCATTGCCCTGGATCTGTATTCCCACTATTCTCAGTGCTTGTCCTCTTATGACCATACAACAGCTTATTTATCCACCTTTCACAGCAACTATTGCCTCCCCAGTGTCTTGCACACACTGAGTATAAGCAGTGATCCCTCCACAAAAAGCCTTGTTCACATAAGATGAGGCAGTGGTCCAGTTGGCAGACACAGATGCTGCTTTGTGGGCAAAAATTGTTCTTCCCTTCTGTGGTGCCTCAGAAAAGTTAACATAGAGAATGGGAAGAAGACAAGGAAGAAGATTTTACACTTTCTACAGATTTCTAAACTGGAGGATGTGGGAGGATGCAAGTAGTGGATGATCATGTCCTTTTATGATGTCAAAGAAAAATTTCCGTAACATAAATTTAGACTTACAATCCATATCCCGTCATAATCAATGATCTTCTTAAAATCAGTGCACAGCTGGATCCACCATTCTGTTGTTAATGGGTTGGTGAAGTCTGGGAAAACTGAGTTTCCTGGGGGCCAAGCCTATGATGGATAAAGAAATCAATCAAAATAATGCAAACAATGTAAAGGATAAACTTAAACTCGTTGCTGTAAGATTGGGACTGACTCCCTCCAGCAACATTCCATCACATAGAAGATATCCCATCTTTCTCCTGAGGAGCAGCTGGTAGATTCAAACTGCCAAGGAGGTGTGGCTTTGGGTTGCAGTGCAACTTCCAATAGGCTAGGCCATCCAAGCTCCCATTAATGTGGTAAAGAAATCACTAAACTTGGTGAGTCTCTAGTTGGCTCTTATTTTGCATTTCGGGTCGCAAAAATAAAAACGGAGGCTTTGTGAAGTTAAATAACCAGGCACATAGTACAAGTTAGTGATAAAAGGAGAAGAGAATTCCTAATCTAGATCTATTCTCTTTTAAAAATAAAATTGAGGGAGCTCTGGCAGCCTAATGGCAAGAAGCTGCACTGAAATCCCAAAGGTGTGTGGTTCGAATCCACCAGATGCTCTCCTGGAGAAGGAGGAACAATCTCCTCTTGTACTAGTCAGATTCGATTTGATGGTACACACCCAAAAAATAATAAAAAAATAAAATAAAATTGAATATGTGTGGAAAGAATCCTTTGAAAAGCTCAGTATTGGCTGTGAACTAGGCCATGTGTTGACTTTGGAATGAACCATCAACTACTCTTGTGCAAGTTCAAATTGTAACTAAAAAAAATCAATACAAACCACAAGACACAAGATACGACCTTGAGTCTATCCTACCTGAATTTAAAAGCTGTCTTGAGAACAGGTTTGAGGCCTTGAATACTAATGAATGAAGATCAGATGAGCTGTGGATGATATCAAGAATATCATCCATAAAGAATGCAAAGGGTCATTACAAAGATGGAAGAAGAAAAGACCTAGATAGACATCAGAATAGATACTGAGTATTGCTCTAAAACACAGAGAAGCCAAAACAAAGTAAAGAAATCATGAAATTAAATAGTTGAACAGAAGATTTCAAAGGACAGCTTGGGAAAACAAAGTTAAGTGTTATATTTAAATGTGCAAGGAGCAAATGTCAGAAAATCAAAAGCAGTAAAATAATTTGGCATTTCTTAAGCTGAAGATATGGAAAAACAAATTCAAGCTTTGAGTTGCAATTCTTCAAGATGTTATGGGCAGAAGATGAATAATCCAGGAAGCATCAAAAGAAGATGGAATGAATACACAAAGTCCCTGTACTAAAAAGAATTGGCTAGCACAGAAAAAAAAAATCCAGGAAGTAGCTTATGATCAAGAAGCAATGGTAATAAAGGAGGAAGTTCAAACTGTTCTGAAAGAATTGGGAAAATAGAAGTCTCCAGGAATTGATGGAACATTGACTGACATATTTGAACAAACAGATACAGTCCTGGATGTACTCACCAGGTTGTGTCAAGATATCTGGAGAAAAAATACCTGGCCATTCAAAAAAAGGGGATCTATTTTTTTACTGTTCCTTCAATAGGTGATCCTTCAGAGTACAGAAAGTATTGAATAATATCATTAATATCACATGCAAGCAAAATCTTGCTGATGATAATCCAAAAACTACTAGAACCGTACATATATTGACAAAGAACTGCCAGAAGTACAGGCTGAGTTTATCAGAGGCTATAGCACTATGGATATCATTGGCAATCTCAGGTGAATCTTGGCTAAAAGCAGAGAATACCAGAAGGATGTCTATTTGTGTTTCATTGACTATATAAAGGCTTTTGACTGTGTGGATCACAACAAATTGCGGTGAACCTTGAGAAGAATGGGAATTCCAGAACATATGATCGTGATCGTGTGAAACATATACCTAGATCAGAAGTTGTCATATGAAAAGAGTAAGACAACACTCACTACATGATTCAACAGCACCTCAGGGATACATCCTGTCTCCAAATATTTTCAGTCTATATGCGGAACAGATCATCTAGGACAATCATAAATAAGATCATAAAGAAGAATGTGGCATCAGGAATGGAGGAAGACTCATCAACAATCTGCATTATAAAGATGATACAATCTTGTTCACCCAAACTGAGGAAGACTTGAAGTGTTTGCTGCAGAAGGTCAAGAAGTGCAGTCATCAATATGTATTGCATCTCAACATGAAGAAAACAAAGATTTCTCACCACTTGGCCAACTGGCAGCATTATGATAGACGGAAGAGACTGAGGTTAACACTTTCATTTTGCTTAGATACACAGTCAACACTCCAGCAGTCAGGAAACCAAAAGAAAAATATTAAGAACCTGTTAAGGACCTCAGCAGCGTGGGAAAGTTCAGTGATATCAGTCTAAAGATTAAGGTGCACCTGATCCAGGAATGGTCTTTTCACTAGCTGGACAATGACTAAGAATGACAGAAAAATAATCAATATTTTGAGTTGTGGTGCTGGAGTTAATGTATTGAATGTATGTACCATACATTGCTAAAAGAACAAATAAATCTGCCCTAGAGGGGGTGAAACCAGGTTGCTTCTCGGAGGCAAGTATTTTGAAACTCTATCTCATATAGTTTGAGCATGTTGCCAGGAGGGACCAGTCGTTGAAGAAGGACATCATGCTTGGAAAGGTAGAGGGTCATCACAGGAGTGGAAAACCCTGGATGAGACAGACTAACATAGTACCTATGGAAATGGGGGGGAGGAGTAACAAAAATGGTAAGATTGGCTCATGATAGTGCAGGGTTCAGAGCTATTGTTGATAGGGTTGCTATGAGCCATAGTGGACTCAATGGCACATAACACTAAAAACAACATGTGAAATAATATTTACTCGTTATGCTATTATAACTTTTGTCATTCATCTATACACGTTAGTCTATATAAAATAGAAAATGTACTCAGTCTCTCCCCAGCCCCAAGG